GGTGCCTGTCTCAAAATTGTGAAAAAGCAGCAAGCCTTCAAGCTGGACATGCTGGCGTCATGGCAGAGTAGCGTGTTGCTATGCATCGGCAAGGTGGAGGCGACCTTCGGGTCCCAGCAGTGGACTTGCACGGAGCCAGCACAGCGTCACAGAAACAGACTGAGCCTGAGGTTGAGACTTGTCAAATCCGCAGAGCCGGCGGCACCAAAGGCTCGGCTGCCCACACGCCATACAGATCTTACCTTTCCATACAGATCTTATCTTACCGAAGATGACAAGCCCAAAGAAGCAAGGGAGCCTAGAAGCCGGATTCCGGATTGATAGCTGAAGACATTTTGGGGTCTTCTGAGTGTAGGTGCAACTGAGCCACTGCGTGGCGAGTTCCCGTCTTTTGTGCGCTCTGCGGACTCCGCCAATGCCACATCGACTTTAGTTCCGCTCTCGGATATCTGGGGCTTCCAAGCTCAGTGCAACTGTGAAGTACGTCAATCCAAGAGTGGTTTGCAGAGTGTGAAGCTTAGGCCAGTTCAGAGGCTTAACTTAGAGCTTTGCAGTTGCATTGACAGACCTTGCTTTACAGGGGGGTGCAGCCTGCGTCCTTGAATGAGGATCACCCCGTCGTGGAGAGACTGGGCGCTTCAGATCTCACCGCTGCTCAAGATGCAGGTCAGGATCATGACTTCGTGCTACCACCAATAGTCCAGCAACGAATCCCTGCAAGATCCTGCAAGCATCGTCACAAATCCGCTGAACGCTGTTCTTGCTTGAAGGCGATGATGCTGCTGACGCTGAGCAAGGCCATGCTGCCGATATTATGTTGTACTGTACGGTATTTTGCAATCCAATCATTCATGCCAAGAGGCTGCCCGCCAAGAGTGATGAGTGATCGCATGTTGAAGAACAAGTATGTACTGCAAAAGCGGTCAGTCCGAGTTGCATACCGGCATCCATATGCTTAGCTAGACAGCTGAAGGGGTAGGACGGAAAGGAAGCTTGCAGCTGCAGGTCTGCAGCCGCCGCGCATCAGTGCGCGTTTTTGCTTGTCGGCAGCTTGGGGCACATGCAGTGCATGTCTTGCCTTTGCTTGTGAGATCTTTTGATACAGATGTGGAACAGCGATGCCTTTGTGTTCGAATATTCCACGTTTGCTGTCAGGTAGTTGTCAGGTCAATCAATCCCCATGTTTCTCCGAGGCTTCCGAAAGAAGCCGAGCCCTCTGAACAGAGCACAGCTGCAGCTGGCACCTAAGACTCTTCTCTCGCGCAGATACTTCGCAGTCCTCATGTATTCTCATTTGCAATGTGCAACGAACGTGTCCTCCACAGCCCTGGCTGCCTCGCTTGAAAAGTTGTGCATCGGTAGTCGTGGCGCGTGGCTGTTTGGCAACGTCCCATCCGACCTCTCAGCTAGCATCTATGAGCCTCGCATTTCGGATGGCCGCGACCGTTGTCCAAAGCCCCCTGAAACCTTGTCCAATATCAATTCAATGCAGCATGTCTGTCTGTGACCGCATCAGGAGGTCCAGGAATCCGCAAGCTTCAAGGCTGGGCTCGTTGCCAGCTTAAAGCTTTAAGCTTTACGCCGTAGGACGGTTGAGTCTTAACCCGAAAGCCTTGGACTCCGGAAGCAGTAGTCCTTGAAATATCGAACCAGAAATCTGGTACCAGAACAACATCACGTAGCACTTAGCCTAGCAGGCTTCGAAAAAGTGGTAGGCCGAACAAGCGATTGTTTGGATATGGTATAGGAATACTCTCGGCAGAGAATCGAAACTACAGAGCTGATTTTTTGGATGCTCAGTTGCAGCTGCGAGCCACCAATCTGCTTGCAACAGGGTGTAGCAACTCAAGAAGTCTGAGCAGATGACAAAGCTTGACATTGTAGCGGATACTGCAGGGCAATATGGGAACCTCGTCAAAACTCCCGAATTAGTTGGTATTGCGGAAGCACGCGCGCGCAAAGAAGCTGCTGCCACCCAATCCACAATTCTTTGCAGAAAGAAGTTGAACAGACAGCCTTTGTGCCTGTTGTTGAGCACTCAGTTTGTGTGATGCTATCAAACTGCAGCCAATTATGCAGTAGGCGCATGCAAAATCTATCTCGCTGCCACGGCCGAATTCTCAGTCTCAGCAGTGCAAAAGACTGACAGCATGAGCTTGGTCTTCCTCATTCAAAGGAAGCTTGCCAAGCTTGACAGTAGACATCTGCAGCGCATCGCAGCGCCGACGAACAGCCGTCTTGCTCAAAGATGAGGTCGTGGAACTTGTTGAAGGCGATGCAGTTCCTGCAGGATCAGCAGGTCGCAACAGGCAGTTGGGGGATGTTGGGGGGAAACCGTGGCAAGCAACGCGAAGCCAGCTCAGCGCGAGGTAGAGTTGCTGTTGTGTACCAACACTCACCGGCTGATTCTTGTGCACTTGATATCCTCCGCTGCTGGCAGCAGCTTCTTGGCACTTGGCACCAGGTGTTGATCAAGAAATTGCCGGCTGCCCAGCAAAGGACTTGCGGCTACGACGGCCGTTTTATAAAACCGTGTCAAACATGCTAAGGACCAGCAGGCTCTTTGCATCGTGGAGCCGCTTCAGAAGGCAGCGGCCTGTACTGCGAAACAGCTTCCGAACTTGTACATGCCTGGATGCCCGAGCAACAAAAGAGCTTCGATAAGATCTTGCCACTGCAGGCCGGTAAAGAAACAATTACAAGACAGACATCAGGGGCAGGGTGACTAAGAAGAACGATTGATCTCGCTGCATCCACCTTGATTGCAATGCAACAGCACTGTGAAGTACTTGCGGTTACTAGCAAGCTTGAGACTAAAGAGATCAGAGGGATTTGCAAATATGATTTCAGCAGGACATGCGAGACGTGACATCATCGGTCTAGGTTCAGCGCGATTTGTGACAGGTTCCGCTAGACAACTGGCGCCTGGGGTATGAGCTGGGCGCTTAGGGTTTTCACCAAGGTTTCCTGCTCCTAGAGCTGGCCTGTTTGCAGCATCGCTGCTCTCGGCTTTTGTGGTGCAAGCACAGGTAGGGTTCTAGCAGGTGTCAAGCAGCAGGAGTACGGACATGTTCGCTCATTTGACCCATAACATTTCATATGTTCACTCGGTATGGCAGTATGGCAAGCAAGTGTCGACTCGCCAGGCTTGTGCTGGAAAACCCAGGCAGCCCGCAGCATGACTGTGCTGGCTTTGGAGTCTAGCACAATGTAAGCGCGGTGGCAGCGGTGGTTGTTGTTGTGGGGTGACGGCTGTGGCGGCGCTGCATGATGATCCTGCACGCAAGATAGAGACGTCGTGCAGCATTTTGTTCTGGTTGCACTGGCTATTTGGCGCAGGCGCGGCATCCAGTGGCCTTACAGAGGCTGGCAGCGTGGTTCAACAAGTCCTGAGAGGTTATGTCACGGTGACTTGCTATCTGTCTCCGTAGCGTTGGAGAACACGGTGCCTGTAGTAGTTAGTCCGTTCTATTCAGCTTCTGTCTTCAGTGCAAAAAAAATCTGGATGCCTCCATCCGGCTCCCATTTGCAGCCCAGTTCGCTCAACTTCTTGCGAGCCTTGGCGTAATCCTGGAAGGAGGCGTGTTGATATGTCCTGACCCTTGGTGTAAGTGTAGAAATCGAAACGCTTCTTGAACTAGGGTCTATATTCAGGACCTCATGAGTCTTGAACCATCAAAGGTTGTCATCCTCATAGGACGGCCTGTAATCCTTGAAGTAACTCTAGTTGAACGTCATCCAGTTCTTCGTCCAGGAAGCAGCCCAAACTTGAATCGAGAATGAATAGTGAGGCTTGACATGCTCATGGCAAACAGGCCTTGAAGGTTCCGGTGGGCTTGCGTTCTTGAGTTGAAGGTAATTCCACAGGCTGAACCGTCAATATGCAGGTCATGCAGGTCAGAGGATCAGTATGGAAATCCACATTTTCCAGCCTGCAACTACACGCACTGGTGTTGAAAGTTTGCCAAACATGCCAGGCCGATGGTATGGCCAGCCCGATTGCCAGGCGCACGATCGTTTTGTTTCCAGCCCGGTCGGTACCTTGCTAGTTGAATTGCTGCAGAGAAGCAGTTGTCCTAGGCAATGAGCTAATTGTATTTGTTCCGTACTCGTCGTTCAGGCGCACGCCAAGCGATGAAGTTGCGCGGACCCCACAGACCGAAAAGCACCTATCAGGCTGTAGGACCATTGCAGGAGATATTGCTATTACACATTCGCTAGATATTCGCTACTTGGACCAGGGTCCAGCAAAGGCGACAGGATTGATTGGTACTCACAGTGCTTTGGCCTGACATAGGATTAAGTAGTGTGCCTACCCCCCAGACAGCAGTGAGGCTCCCCATGCCCCTGTCTTGGGCACAACTCTGACGCAAACTGAACTTCAGTAAAACCATGTCCATAAAATTCAGGCTTATGTGCCGATTGCCAAGTTGCACTTGTTGGCACTTGAATCCTTTCCAAGTTGGCCAGACATGGTTCCATCATGCTCGTTCGAGACAAGGGAGCTTATCAAGCCGCAGATTATTGAGGCCCTGAGCAGCGGCAAGAGAAGGCGGAGAACGCTACCAGCCGGCGAGCTGCCTCAAGCCCAGTCATTTGCAGATATGTTCTGATGGCCAGTTGTGCCAGCTGCATGCCAAAGTTCCTCTTGCCTTGCAGACCCTGACATAACAATTTGTTGCGCGTGCAGCTGCCCCGAAGTGTGCAGTAAGGACGGACGCAGTAGCTCGCGAGATGTGCGCCTTAACTTTCTAGCAGGCTGCAATCACCCTTCCGTTTTGCTTCGTCAGGGTACACACGCAAACAGGTATTCCGACAACGCCAAGCGGCGACTTGATGGCCTGGCACTTATCAGAATCACTTACAGCACAGATTCTCTTAGGAGAGCCTTCTGGATTCCTACCAAGGACAAATGCTCAGCGTTGAGCAGATGATCCAGCGCTGCGGCTGCAGACTCGGTTCAGGGTCTTACCGTGGACCAGCAGAATTTGAGGAAGCAGATGGCCCTTCAAGGTGGAAACACCACCGTCACCAATGCAATCGAACTGTCGGAACCTTACTTAGCCGGCGCGTCAGGTTGTGAACGTAAGGCAAACGTCGCAAAATGAATAGACCTTGAGAGTTTCTTTGGGTGGCTTTCATTTGTATGGGGGTGCTCAACTCGTCGCAGAGCAATCCACTGCCACAATGTTGCGTGCCAAATGCGCGCATTTTCACCAGAAATAGCGGAGTCGCTTTGGTACAATTGGTTGCGGACGACTGCTGAGCGCATGCATGAAGCGCATACACGTGGAGCTGACAGCTGTGTGGCGCGAAGGCTTCGCATCATGCAGGAACATGCCCCCAGCAGCTGCCCAAGCCATACATGCTTTTAGACGCCGTGGAAATCTCAGGGTGGCTCAGAGAGCCTGCAACGCTTAGGCATCAACTTGGAGGTCGGAAACTGGGTATCTTCAAAGCTGGACAGGAAGCTGAGGCTGGTCTCTTGACATGTTGCTTGCCAGGTGCCCCCCATAATGTGCCCACATTGCCACAGGTATCAGCTGGAAGATCCGTCAGAGTCTGAGATGGTCCTTTCACGCGGAAAGGGCCGCAAACATGCACGTTGAATCGTTCGTAACGGAAGGTGTAAGTTGCCGGGTGCATGCGTGCTGAGTTGCAAGGCTGAGCGTCATCAGTGGGACCTTGCCAGTGTGGGCCGTGACGCTGCCGCGTGTGTGTCCTTTCCTCTTCAGCTGCGCCCCAAGACGTCTGCTGCGTTATGCTGCTTTGCTTGCAAAAAAAAAGAGCGTTGTCAGCTTAAGCAAGGCCTTAAAACGCGGAAGATGCTGTTGAAGTACACAGCATTCGGTCCGTCCTTTGCAGTTCATTGGACGCAGGACGGTGGCCTGAAGAGTTTGTTCTTGCAGTCGCTGCTTCCTGTCCCATTTGCCAGGAGAGCAAGGTTGGCTCCTTCCTGAAGCGGAGAGCCACAGTACAGACAGAGCTTAATGCCGTGAGCCTTGTGGAGATTTGATGTAGACAGGGAGCAATTCTGCGTCGGACTTGCCGTGGGTGAGGCCCAGACGGACCCCAGGAAGATGCAGGAGCTCTCCCAGGAGCTGTCGGCTGCCAGCACATTTGAGAAATGACTTTCTGCGTCTCTTTTAAGCTTTGATAGCCTGCTTGTCCAACTCTGGGGGTATTTCCAGCAACGTGAGCCAGTGCACGGGCAATGTATGCAGTACACAAAATAGCAACGTAGCAGGCCGCGTGGAGCTAACAGCACTGACCCTCTAGGCCCTTCAACCATGCTCCTTGTAATTTACATTCCGGCCACACAAAACGGGATAGAAATGTCCAGGAGTGGGGGGATTCTTTGTTGTAGCATGCAGCCTCACGTAGCTCAGCAGAAGCTCTCGAGCTTCTTGAGCCAGGTCGAACATTGAGGAGCATGTTGTCAGGCGGCCGCATGCAAGTAAGGAAGCTTATTGGCAACCTCAGAAATTCAAGTGTTCAACTTCTGAAGAAGGACTTAAGCAGAGCTGTGGCATCAGTTAAGCTGTTTGCGCATCGCACGACTGTCTGGTGCGGGGGCTGCGAGTAAGCTCTGCATGGCGGATGCTCTTGCAGAAAAATCGCCAGCCTTTCCACTAGCCCAGACCGAAAGGTCCAACTTTTGGCTCGGCACACTGCAGAGCACACTTGTCAGAGCCCTACGAGTAGTGCATTTGCACATATATGCTCTAAAATCGGACCATTTGCAGGTGCGTTTGCAGAAGGGCGAAGAGTTCCTGCGACAGTCCGACGTCGCCATGGGCTTTCTGGCAAACGCAAGCAGCCCAGCAATCAAAGAACATCCCCAGTGAGAAGCCAGCAGAAGTCATTGCTTCGCACTGTCAGGCTAGCAAGCTATTGGAGGTGCAGTTTGAGGGCGAGACAGGCTTCGGAGTGGCGGTGACCCAGTCATTCTATGTGCCACAGCTGCACCACTGAGAGTTTGCCCGCATTGTCTCCAGCGTGTAGAATTACAGGTGGAGGTAGCACAAGCCCTACAAGAACGCGCCATCAATGCCGCCATTCCTCTGTGGGCTCCGCGCTCAGCATGCGAGATGGTTAGCAAGGTATTCTTTCGATTCCTGAGCAAACTATGACTGGCCACAAGCACAAGGGCTCTAGAATACTCTCTAAAGCTCTAACATGACGTGGCCCTACAAAAGAAGCACTCTAAGCTGCTGCTGGTTCACGCCGGGACGGGAGGTTGAAGATGACGATTCAAGTGGGAGTCAGCAACACCTGCCTGGGGCCAAGACTGGACATCATCAGCATAGTGGCATAGCGGCACAGCATCAGCAACACCAACAGGACAGCTTTCGCCGAGGCTGTGCCGCAGGGGTTTGCTGCTCAAGCCGCTCACGGATGGGCCTGGCCCTCGCTGACCAACAGAGCATCAAAGTCTCTCAGCTTTGCTCCTTTGGCTGTGGAGGCCCCAAAAGGATGCCACCGTTGAGCGCTTCCGCTTTTTAGGGCGCTTGATCGGACCTTGGCAGTCTGCTGTCAAGATAGGCAGATTGGTGCTGTTGCTGCTGTCCCAGGATGGGGCAGGCCCTGCCTAGAGCTCAGCGAAATCCCAGAATTCCTTGAACAACGCATGTGCTCGTACGGGTCCTTCAGGCGCGAGGGCTTCATCGTGCCTTTGCCTCTCGCGGAGGAGTTTTTTGCCCTGGTCCTTGGAGAAAAGTCTGGTGCCCGGATGCAGATCTTCGCAGGGGTCTTATGACTCTTCTACAGGCATGCAGAGATGAGAGTTGTGCAGGTTCTGACTTGCAGCTGTTCAAGCTGGGCTTCCTCCCATGCCTCAATGATTCAGTAATTTCAATATTTATGGTCATTGTAATAGTTATAGTTATAGTATAGTTATTATAGTAATTAAGACTTGTATAGTAATTATCAGCCGGGAAAGCTCACGTATTCGCGCTGCTCCTGTCTGCAAGGAGCCTCCCGCGGCAGGTGGCGGGTTTCCCCAAATTATGGGTATCCCGATGATAAGAACTATAGTATTTGGGGTCAACATGGGGGCCCTCCTATTTAGGGAAACCCCCATACGCTTCTCTCTTTCTTAAAGTCTGTACAATCTCTGTTGCAGTTTGAAGGTGTGATTTTGCATTTTCTTACTGGGGCTTAGGGAAAATGGAATATGTTATAAGGGATTACATAGGGATTCTCTTCTCCTACTCCCTACTAACAACCAGTAAGTTTTCGAGGGGAGAGGTTTCTGCGCAGGTACAGTATGGTCAGTCGCCAGTCGGAGTTACGTCATGTCCACGAACAGACGGGCGGCCCTGGGTGGCCCACGAATTTTGTGATATCCGGCAGTCTCAATTAGGCAGTGATTTGGCTAAGCAGACGCGTCGGAACGGATCTGCACAGCACACGCAGCTTACGGGTTCTGAAGGGATCAGCTGGCCGAAGCATGAGCAAGGCTTGGACATTTCCGGCAAGCTTCTCTCAGTTTTCTCGTGATTCAAAGAGAAGAACGCGCTCAGGCTTGAGGCTGCTAGCCTTCCTCGGCCCGGCAACGGGGTAGCTGGCGAGCCGCAAGCTTAGCTTTGAGCTCGCCTGAGCATGGTGTACACATTGTGCAGACCTATGCCTATCCCGGATGGCTGTGGGGGATGTCATCGATAGGCTTCACGAGTGTCAGGGATTGCTGCTGAATGTTTTTGTCACGGATCGGGGCTTGGTGGGGCACTTGTACCCGAGACGGGGTTGAGCAAACCCTTCAAGCAGGGGCGGCATAACCATGGTAACCTGGTAGGGCATCCCCCCAAACCATACACATAGAAAGAAGATTGGTAATTTCCGTGGCTTAGCGGATATTTGTGGATCGTGCGCATGCGAAGGTTGCTTGGTGCCTTGGCGGACTTTGCAGATGACCTCAGGGCTGGAGAGGCAAACTCCGATCTCAGTAAGAAGAGTGTGTTGCCACGCTTCCTCAACATGCAGCGCACGATGTAGACGCAGGGCGCACACAGGGCAGGGCCGCACATAATGCTTTGCGCAGTTAAGGGAGTGAATGCATACCAGCTGGATCTGAACCAGGGCAAGACCAGCACGCTCTGTGCTAGTGTACCCAAACTTTCAAGCTGCATCACCTCAATGGGCCACTTTTGATGGCAAGGACGTTCATGCAGGATCGAATTACACTCTAGGGCTTGCATTCCTCGAAGAGGGAGTCCGCTCCTCCCTTTTGGTGACAAACTTGTTCCATAGTTTGCCATGCGGCACCTGGATCCCCTGAACCGACTTGTGACACTTGACCTACTCGGACTGAGCATAGTTGGCCGCTGGCAGGCCACACAGAAAGAGATTGGCAGCTCTCCGGAGCAGATACGGACTTGGAAGAATGTACAGGCGTGCAAAGCTACTGTACCAACATGGACGTGATCGCCAATTTCAGGGATACTGTAAGGGCACGTGGCGCAGCCGCGGTCAATGCTCTGTCAACATTGAGAGATAGTCGGTTCTCCCCGTTACTGTCCAAACAACACTGCCCTCATCGGCAAATACCGGCAACTGTCCAAGATGTAGTTGAGGTCCCTGCAAAGGTAAGAGCAGAGCGGCTTGCAAGATTGTACTGCCGCAGCCATAGCTCAAACATGCTCAAACATGTTCAAACATGTTCAATTCAAACATGTTGAGACATGGCAACCCTGCGACCATGTTTTAATATGTTCCAACGGAGCTTTCCCGATGTCCAACACTACCTAGCTGGAACTCCTGTCTGCATGATTCGTTATCATCGATGCTACAGTGATGCTACAATGGTGACCTTCGCTTCGGCATTGAACGATGTGCCTCTGTCAGCCTGGCCTCCAGCCCACGCAAGGGCTACCTGCTTTGAGCTGGAGCGGACGCAGGTCAGACTTCAAGTTGCTTCTGAGGCTGTTTGAAGCCTTGATAGGTTGCTTCGGTTGTGGCTCAGCTGAGGTATGACATGCACAATAATGAAGTCGAAGTAAGATGCTGCAAACAAAAACTACAGCACATGCGCAGACTTTCATCGAATGCAGCGCTGGCGCATAGCATACCCCGCAAACTGCCATCCACTTTTAGAATACATTGCTCGCACATTCTCGCTATAGGTACGAGAGTGTGAGAGTGTTTCCTGACGTTTAGACTACTTCCGCGACGGTAGGCCTCTACATTGCGGAGCATTATCACCTCCCCGTTCGTCCTTCCTTCGATTGGCAAAGTCAATTTTCTTGCCTGCTTCTATTCCGTTGTGAGCCAACGCACGAAGCGCGGATGTAGTGCTTGTCGGTATGCATTCATGGTGACGTTTCCCTCCCCACATGTTCCCACAGATAGCGGCGACCTCTCCATGGGTAACCTTCTTGCGCTGCTGTTACCCGTTAGCAACGGCATCGCCCTGCGGTGATCACTTCCAGCATCAGACCTGTTGCAATTTCTACAGCTAGTCAAGCAACTTGGGATGCATCGTGAGTCTTCATTGTCCACATCGGATGGGATCAGTCAACCCTTGTCTACAGGTGGAGCAGATCGAAGACCAGCTACGTTCCAAGACAGGCGTTGCAAAGAAGCCAGGAAGCGGAGGTGGAGGACCGGCAAGATTGGGTAATGTCCTTCCGTCCCCAATGGTGGGCTTGACGATCGCGTTGAGTCTATATTCCGGTTTGCTTGAGACGACCCCCTGTGCATGACCGCATGACATGTGTACAAGCAGTTGAACCTGCGGAGGCCCGTTTGGTGGCTTGGCCGGTGCGGTGGGTGGCCTTCTGCTTGGCAATGGTGGTGGTGGTTCAAAGCATACTGGCGATGGCCGTGTCGGAGCTGGTGAAAAGCCGCACCCTGCCATGAGTCGGTACTTGAATCAGCTTGAGCTAGAATATGTGCAACTACTCAGCGCTGTACCACGCTGCTGAGGAAGCAAGGTATGCTCAACGATGCGCTGGGAGGAATGGGAACCGCCGGCATGCTCGCCAGTGGGGCATTGAGCGCTGTGGGAGACTTGAATGCAATGCTTTGAGTCAGAATTTGCAAGCCGTTTAGAAACGGGTAGGGCCAGGGCATTCCAGCATGATGGCAGCCACATTTAAGACTTGCAGTTTTGCAGATGCTGCTGGTAAAAAAGTAGGATAAATCTAGTGAAATAGCATGGAATCGTGAGCTCCGCAAGCTTGCGACTCAGGACCCAAAATGGGAGGCCTGCTTGGCCAAAAGAAGGAGCCTGAGATCTCAGATGATCGCACGGAATCAGCGACAGAGTCCGCCGAACTTAAAGCGCAGATGACTGGCGAAGGACCTGTTCCAGCAGGGGGCATCGTTTTGACGATGAAGCAGCAGCAGTACCACAAGCATTCAGCATGGCGTTACACTCGCTGGTAGATGCGCAGGGGAGGACGTGGCTCCGGTTTCGGAAGTTGCTGAGCAAAAGGAGGTAGACGAAGCTGAGGAGGCAGAAGGAGAAGGCACAGCGCCTCGGGTGCACGCGCAAAGCACAAAGAACATGTAGAGCATTGAGACTCTCAACATGTGGGCTTGGAGTTGTCTGCAATGCCTTGCTGCAGGTCCCCCTCCTGGTGATCTACAAGAAAAGATGGGCAAGGCGGATTCTTCCAAGTTTCGAAAATCAGCAACAAGCTAGCTGATGCTGAGGCTCCGGACATCAGCGTAGCAGATCTGTACAAGTACTACACGAACCGCTTGGCACGGCGTGCAAGACAAGCAGCCATCACTGCAGACCAGGCGGTTCAGGAGCCATTTGTGCATGGACTGCCCGGAGCTTTTGAGTTTGACAGTGTTCTGAGAGGTTTCATTCAATCTCACGAGGCCCATGCTGCCTTACAGGCATTTCCTTTGGCACCTCAACATGGACATGATGCATGGGAAGAAATTCCTCATGGTATCATGCTTCTATCGCCGTATTGTCGGAAGTTGAGTCTTTCGTCTTTCTGAGTTTGGAGCTTGCAAAAGATGGAACGTGTGTTGAGGAGGCTTGGAAGCAGCAGCAGCTGGCGCGGTACTGGAACCGGCAAGCCCTAGAAGCCGAAGCTGCTGCAAAGAAGGCTTTACCAGCGAAGGTGGGACCCCAGAAATGGACTTGATTCGATCAGTTCCAGTACTGCACTGTCATGCTACCACAGCGGTTCACTGGCATCTCCTGGCCGCCCATCAGGCAGCGGACGAGAGATCAACGTGCCTTCGCTGCCAGCTGTGTTACATAGATCCATTGGCCACTTTGGGCCCCTGAATAATCTGTATACTGAATATGTTGCACATTACGTGCAAGGAGTGGGTTAGAGAGCCATCACTGCTTCCGCAAGAACAATATTCTGCAAAGCCTTTTCCTGTGAAATCCTCCACCCTCTGGTGCACATACAGGTGGCAATTCTGGACCTGAAAGAAAAAACTTGCTGGTCTTGCGGTTTCTGCTCTGATCATCATGGGATTTGAGCAAGACTCGTCAGGAGGTAACAGGTAACCCTTGCTTGACGAGGAACTCCACAAATGACAAGGGGCACTGCTAAACAGAGAAGGCATGGTTGCCAATGCTCAGCGATTATGACAGGTGGCAGCTCAGGGTCCCACCTGGATGGGAAGTTCCTGCCAGCCCGATGATTTCTGCTCACGACCCTCGTGCAGTCACAATATATTCCGGTGGAGCTCCTTCCACGTGACTCGGCGCCCAGTGCACCTCATTGAAGCCCAGTCTGAATGGCAAGCATTGTACCATGCAGTACAGTTTATGTTCTGCAATTGCTGACTCAGAGCTTTGTAGGCGAGGCTGTTTCCGTGGCAGCTCTGACGAAGGAAGTGATGCCAGATGCGAACTGAGGCTTGCAGCCCTCGCCGCGGTCGGAAGTTTGGCCAACGTTTGGAAGACCCACAAGTGGTGTATCATGGCTTCAAGTCTGCTTGATCAAGCATGTTCGAGAGAGTTTGTTGAACAGGGATGCAAGGAAAGAAGCTCTTGTTTCCTGGAAGGATGTGTACGGTACGCGCCTAGTGCTTGTCTGTCTATTAATGTCTATTAGTCTATTACTTACTGCTGCACCCGCGGCCTAATGCCGCCGAGCTGGCTTCAGGTTCTGCGAGCAGATGTCGTGAGTTCAGAAGAAGATCAGCCGTGACATTTTTCCCCATTGTAGCCCAGGGCTCTGCTTGATGCCGGCAGTCCTGACTCCTTCCCACTTGACTTGATCACAAAGCGGAGCAGGGTTTGAGCCTGGAAGGCGGTCAAAAAATACTTACTAGAACTCCCTCTAGAAACCAGTTCGGCCAAGTCATCAAGTCATTGTGGTGGAGAACACACGTGTCTCACACAGCAGCCCAATGTTCCGAAGTGCTGCAGTGCGTCTATGGGGGCGGCTTTGTGTGGCATACTGAAATTGCTGAATTACAGTGAAATCATGGTTCTCAATACTAGATGAAAGCATTACACCAGGATGGAGCAAGCAGCAACAGTAAGACAACTAGCTCGTAACATGCGAGCAAAGAGGATCTGCGTCGATTCCGGCAAGGGCCAGCTTCAAAAGCTACGCAGCAGGGAAAAATAATCGTCAACAAATCGATGCCGTGGAAGGCTGATCGGAAGGAGTTCACCGAGCGCTTCCTGTCATCCAAAGCGGACATGGCCCCATCCCAGGAGCATGAGCCTTAGGAGTTTGTTGGGAGTTTCAAACTTAGAAGACGGCACTTCGGAGTTCAGCTTGGGGCTCCCCTAACAAGTCCCCTGTCCCGAAGACTAGTGCAATTAGCGCCCAGAGGCCGATGTCATTCAATGACTACACCAGCTTGGCTGGGGTTTGTTTCTTGGAAACTGGCCTGAGTCCGGCACCTGGCACACCAACTATATTTGGAATGAGATGCATTTTGACTTTGCTACCTCTATCTGTGCAGCACAGGTGGCGCAGCCCTCTGTCCAGATGGGGATAACATTCTCGTCACAGTGGACAATGTCGCGGACCTGAGCAAATGTTGAACAAGTACATTGTTCTCAGCAGCACGCGCTCTTGCGGCAGCCGTGCAAGGTGGACAGCTTCATTGAACAGGCAGCACACTTGTTTAACATTTTTTTCCGCAGGATAAGCTTTAGCATGTATCAGCACTGGCGCTTTCCGGAAGGCTACCCACTTTTGGTTTGAAGCAGGTGTCAAGGATCAGGCCCCGGCGTCAGTGGGCTGTTGAGGACAAATTTGCTGGTTGCGCTTTGAATTGTGAGTGTTACGCCATCACCAGGTGGACGCCTTCCGCTCCGGTTTGAACGACGTGTTCCCCTTTCCATGCCTGCAGGCAATGATTGAGGAACTAGACGTGGTCTTGTTTTCTAATGAGGAGATCTAATTTTTCATCTCCCCTCCCCAACAAACCAGGCTAAATGATGCAGAGACCCATATCAAGTTCGGCATAGGTTGTTTCGGGAGGCAGGTCGGATGGGAAACTTATTAGGCAGGGACCAATCGAAACGAGGGCATTATTAGGGACAGGGACTATTCCAGGTTAGAGTCTTCTTAACGGGTAGAGACCATTAAGGCGTGATCAGGGGTTATACTATTCCAATTAGGGCGTTATTAGGCACTATTCCAACAAACGGACCTCATTAGGAACTTTTCCAAATTGGGACCTTATAAGGAACTGTTTTGAATTACGGCCTGATGGGGAACTGCTTCAGCTTTGGAACTCGCTCCGTTCTGTGACCTTGTTGTTGTTCTCTCTCGGAGAAACCATATTTTTCCACCTTCAATCAATGGTATTCCTTTAAAGGTGTCGATGCTGGTGGTGCCAGGCCTTTTCAAGATCAGAACTTCGAGAGATGTTCTGTCCTGCCCCCAGATCCTGAGCCAATTTGTAGCAGTTGAAGTTGTGCTGTCGAAGCCACGTGGCAGAGTTGTGCATGCGTGACAGCTATACCTGCTTCAGAATCGCGCGTGACATCGCCAGGCGGCGAAGATAGAATTGAATGGGATGAGCAAGCGCTGCATGGCTGGCCTGTTTGTTGCAAAGCAACCCTTGGAAATGAGAACAAGTGTAGGCTGCAAGCAGTGCTGCGCAAGCTTTGCCACCAGAAGCCAGGCTCAACCACATCCATCCAACGGGTGGACTCAATGACAAATCACCTGCTTACAGGTTCCTTGTTGTGGCAGCCCCAGGTGTCATCACATAACGCGAGGAGTTTGCACATGAGGCTTGGTAACTGAGGCGCCCTTTCGAAAGGGACTGCGAGTTATGACAGTTAATTTCACAGCAAAGCCCAAAATATCGATTAGGGGCATGGCTGGTGAGGTTGCATGCGGCACGGAGCTGCAGATGCACTCCGTATTTTGAGTGAGCAGACTTGCCAAGGCTGTCCTCTTGGACTTGAACCAGGCTGACAGGTGGGACCCGCTGTTGCTCTTGAGGATCGCAAAGAGTCTGTCCCTGCCCGTCCAGCATGTCATGCCGGAGAATGTCCTAGGAGCATGCTCCCCTACTCGTCGTGGTTGTTCTGAAGCTGTAAACATCAGTTCCGCTACAATCACTTCAATCCTGTAAACGTTGGAAAGCCATCCTGCAAGTAACTTGCAGGTCCAGATTTTTGGACTTCGTGTCATCGTGCCCTCGCCTTCCTCCAGGCATGTGATTCTGTGAGCCATGTTCATGACATGTTGGCAGCTGGCTGATAACTCCACATGTGCTGCATTGGCGGTCAAAATCTTGCGAGCACTCTAGCATTTGAAAGGGATGTTGTCGCGGAATGCCCTTGAAACCATGATGTGGTAGATCCACCAGTGAACATTCGCGCATTTAATCCTTTTACAGAAAGTGCGCTCTAGCTGGACTTCAAATTGAGGCAGTCCGCCCTCTCAAAGTTGAGGGACGTCGCAAGAACAAGTGCGTAACATGCAAGATGGAAGGGCACGCGCAATCAACTTTGACGTCATGATCCCCAGATTGCCATGCTGTCAGACGAACGTTAGCAGGCCAGTCCAAGGCAAAGCGAGTCAGTCTGGGAACCCCACTGAGACCGAACCCTATCTTGAAGGAATGCACAGCAAACAACACAATTCTTGGTTGGGCGCGTCCAAAGAGAGGCGAACTGCTTGAAATCAACTCAATTCCAGGGCTTTTCACAGCCCTGAGACGTGAAAGCCACACCGCCAAACGCATCAAACGCTGAAGGGATGATGCAATGTCATTAGAAGCCAGCACAGCTCCTGGAAAGCGCATGCAGAAAGCGCTCCACAAAACGGACGCTCCACACGGCCGCTTTTGGCCGTTTTCGACCTGATCCGTCGATTTGAGTAAATATCCGGCTTTGGACTGCCAAAAACCAGGCGCGTTCAGGCTGTTTTTGCTCCTCCAGTTTTTTTCTTGCTGCTGGTGCTGCACTGACATGATTGGAGCCCTTTGGTGCGCCGTGACGGGCCTAAACGCTCCACAAGCCGGGGCATAACGCGGTGAGCGTCTCCAATCCGTACGGTTCACATGGCCATCAGCTGCACCAGAGAAATTAAACTTCGGACTGGCATGTTCCAGTATACAAGCATGAAGACACCCATCTTCTTGTTGCCTTCAGGTGGCATTGCAAAGTTCCACGTTGATGTTTTCCCTGACACTAGCGTCAGAGCCTTTGATCTTGTGCGCACGCGTGGCTTTCTGCAAGTTGAGTTCAAGTTTGTCCTTGAATTGCTGTCATGCGCCGTCCGAGATTCCAGCAGCATCCGAGGCTTCACCTCAAGCCTTTCCGCGGTCAAGAGCATGTGCCAACCAGCAGGGTGCCTAGCAGCGAGGCACGTGAACCACCCTCTTGAGGGGCCTTTTTTGATGGGATCTGACGGACCCATGTTGTAGGTAAATCCGCAGCTGGCTGCCAAGGCTGTACTTGCCGCCTTACACCTCCAAAGAGGAACTGCAGGCACAGCATGGCATTGCCAATTTGTGGTACACAAGGTGCCCGGTATGGAACATGTATCGCTCCCTTCTTATCTCAAGCTGCAGGCAAGGCTGCACGAGGCCATGTACTGCTCGGTCTTGCCCTTGGACTTGCCATGACTTCGTCCATTGAGTCATGAACAATGCAGCTATGAACTGATGAGCATATTTTTTTGCTTCCTTCAAACAAGACATGGCCTCACTGGACAGTTCTTTTTCCATGCTTTGCCCCTGAAAGATTTCACGGTGAGGTTCTGTGCATTCATGCAGACTATTCGAGGCTGGACATCATGAGCAAAAGGTGCGGGATCAGTGAAGCTCTGAGCACGAACGGGCCAGAACGGAGTCTGACCGGAGATGGCCAACCTTGGCCAAAGGCCTTGTTTGGTCTGCGGAGCCTGATTTACGAGGCTGAAAAAAACGAGCATTTTGATGCAGTCATCGCTAGTGTCATTAGGATTTAAACGGATGCAAGGATGCGCCGATCAGAGCTTTGGGCTTGGAGTCGGCTTGCTTCGTTGACACGTCATGCCACCCGCTGCGACCTGACTCAAGATACTGAAGAGCTCACACCTGCAGAGTTTATGGTAGTCGGGGTGATGAGATCATCTGACACGGCATCCTCTGTGGGCTCCGAGGTGCCTCAACGAACGCCACCCATTGTGTGTGCCTGGACTGGGTGTTGATAAAGTCACATGTGGGACTTCACGCCGCGTGATGCGACTTCTCCGCTCATTGCATCTGCTTGACTTCATGCTGAATGATGTGAGTCAACTAAGTACAATAGCCGCAAGCAGCACTACTTACATTATCATCGTCGTCGTCGTCGTCGTCGTCGTGGTTGTTGTTGTTGCTGTTGTTGCTGTTGTTGCTGTTCTTCCTGTTGTTGCTGTTGTTGCTGTTGCTGTTCTTGTTATTCTTGTTGTAATTATGGCTACTATTGAGAGTTTGACTTCTAGGCTGCGCATACCGTATGAACAGCTCGCTGCAGCATTGCCTTTGGTATAGGCTTATAATATGGAGACTTATAGATGAACGTAGGGACATGTAGAAGCGGTGGGAGATGGCATCTAGCTGGGGCATATTCGTCGGCTCCAGCTGGCTCATGCAAATAGCTCCAGTCGGCCGCTACAGGTCTGAGCATTCCTGAGCATGAACGAACGATATTTGTAAATCTATATTAAGTAATTACTGTATATGCAGATTTGGCCTTGACATTAATTCTCAATATTTAGATACATCAATTGAGCGGCTGCCAAAACCCCTACGGAGTTTTGTAAGAGTGTTTTCATATCGATAGTGGATGTTGCAAAGGTTGGTGCGCGCGTCGCTCAACTTGGTAAGAAGCCTCTGAACAAAATTCGCGAGGCGCTTGCGTCAACAAAAATTGCGTCAATAAAACATGAACTTTTCGCATCTCATTCGCGATAGCTCGCATCAATGCAAAAGAACAATAGGAGCGCGCGAGGTGCTGGCGCTGGGACCGCATCAATAAAACGTATTTCATATGAGAACAGAAGATTCAAAAGGTTATTGGTCATGGCTCAATTAGATTTCCATATCTTATATAGATAAGTAATTCGTGACGTATTAGAATTATTCATACCTCTAGAAAGGTGCGGTCACTTGCGGCTTTGTCGCTTGCGTACGGCCTAGCTTTTTTGGCTCTCTTTTAAAATGTCTCTTGCGGCTGACCTAGTGTTTTCGAAACTCCCGAAATTTTAGGACTGAATAATCATGAATACGCGAATACTACGGCGCGGCTTAGATTTTCTGGCTCGCCTTTAAAAGGCCTCTTGCGGGCTCCGTATAGGAGCTCTAAAATCTCGGAGATTGGAGAGACCTTCGGAAAAACCGGAGGCTAAACTGTCTCCGAGATTTGCGGTGCGGGCGACTATGATGAGAAGTCCGACGACTAAATATTCTCTAAAATCGCATATGAAGTCTGAAGAATTATCAATATTTCAAGATCGCACGTTTTAATCTGAAAGATTTTATATATACCGTCAATCTATAGCTTCTATTATCTACGTATCTTCTAAATGACGGATAGGTTCTAAAGAATTTTGATTCTCCGTCTCGGGTCTATGCGTGTCTCCGAGCAGCCAGCCAAATCGAAATAAACCACGCGGTAAATCGTTCTTCCGGAGGTAAGTGCGAGCGAGCCAAAATCTCCGAGATTTTTGGTCGTGATTTTCTTAGATAAATATTTTTTCGTTGCACCAACCCTAATTTTATTATTTGATAGATTCAATTTTCATTATTTATTGAATTTATTTTTCTATTATGATTTTTTTCTAGATATTTTCTATTTAGCGATTGATTTGGCCGCTACGTAGATAACCTAGGAAAGATGAATGATTGATATATCATTTAATTTTATAATTGATTTCTCGTTGAATTTATATTTCTCATAGAAAAAAGATTTAAATTGATATTATTAATTTATAATCTATTAGAAGAGAAATAGATTCTTAATATAGATCGTTTTCTCTGAAAAGATATATAGATCTTTCTTTGAAATTTGAGAATTTTTGATTTCAAATATAGATAAGATGATATAATATATTTCTTCTCATTTCGTAAAGAATTCTTTATTGATCATTATAGAGTTTCTAAATATTTGCTCTTGATAAAAAGATAGTTTTCTAGATCTGAATGAAATATAGATTCGAATTATATTGACATATATATTTATATTTTTCATATTCTGCGATATTCTTTCTATGCGATTGAGCAGATAAATATTTCAATATGATAGAATCTCTATATGATATCTTGCGAATCTCAAGATTCATTTGAAGATATATATTTAATTTATCTTGGAAATCTTCAATAATATTTCTTATCGTTATAGAATTATTGAATATATTATCTTTTCAAAGAAGATTCAATGATTAAAACGAAAATCTTTCTAAATCTATAACTCATCAAATTAGATTGAGATCTTAATAATAAGAATGATTTCAAAATTCTATCTTCAAATCTGAAATTCCAGAAATAAACAAATATTCGAAATAAAATCAAAAAAATAATCTTCGAAATAGAATCATAATTATAATCTAGAAAGAATAAAAAGAATAATTAAGATATCTATGAAATATTCTTCTAGAAATTCTATTAGAAGACGATTAGATTTCAAGTATATAAAATTCTTTAGATGAATCTAATTTTCTTATTCGTGATGATAAGAAATCGTCGAAAAAAAGAAATATTAAGATCTAAGAAATTGATCTCTAAATCCTTATATTATCAAAAATGATCTAAATGCCTTCTCCTGGAAAATTTATATCTATTCTACTCAATTAATATCAATTCCTAATCATAGGAGATCTTGGCGAAAGATATCATGATCATTTATTTTCGGATTTTTTTCGAAAGATTTAGATAAATTGATCATTGATAATTATCGGATCTTGCCTTCCGTCTCTGATATATAATAAATAGATATATTATTATTTATGAAATATATATTTATAATAATTGATAAATATATATCTTAAATCTCATTAGAAATTGATATCAATAATTCGGGAAGATAAAATCAATCGATGATCGTCTTCTAATTCTAAATCGTCAGAATTTTCAAAGATCAGTCATTCATCATCTCTAGGTCGAAA